CCGAGACAGTGATGAACTGCAACTCCCATCATTCCTCACACTAGGTACAGCAGCTAGGAGTGCTGGAAATTGCACTCCAACAACTTTTGGAAGGCTACATGTTGTCCACCCTTAGTTTTGCCCAGTATTCTAGGGGCTTCCTAGGGTTCTAAGAAAAGATCTGTTCATATTAAATTTATTTACAGAGGACCTTTTCATATTATACATCTACAGCTCTATGATTACACTTTAACTGCCAAGGCAATAATCTATGGAATCCTGGGATTTGCAGACCAGGAAGGAGCATTTACAATTCTCTTCCACAGGGCTCTATTGTCTCCCCAGGCTACAAACCCCACAATTCCAAAGGATTCAGCCATGGCAAAATGGAATCACAGCACTACAATAGCATAGTGTGAAATGGCCCCAAGTTGAACAGGTAACACTTTACTTCAGGGATGGGGAACCTTTAGCTATCCAGATGTTTTGGCCTAAAACTCCTGGCAACCACCACACAGTATGGACTGTTTGAGAGTCTGTAGGCGCAGAGACTACTGGGACTGTAGGAGTTGTGATCCACAACATCTGGCAAGCATCCTATCTCCTGCAATCAGTCCATTGGTCCAAGATGGTCTACATATATGAAAGCCAGAGCCTGTTCCTCACCCATTTTGGCAGCCTCCTCCTTCACATCCTTTCATCTTAAATCACTGAGAATTACATTCCAGACAATGCAGTTCCCCCTTAAGCCACAGTGCATGTCTTTGTGTGACCTGGGCTGTTGCCACACTGCAGAATTAATGGAGTCTGACATCAGTTTAGTGGTCATGGCTCCATCCTATGGAATCTTGGGATCTGTAGTTTGTTGGGGCACCAGAGCTCTCTGACAGAAAATGCACTAAATGCGAAGAGAGTGATAAAACGATAAGAAGTCATATGATTTTCATTATTAGATTTGGTAGTGAGGAAGTTTAACTGTTTTTGTGTAGTTATGTTTTTGTGTATTGTGTTGTATGAAGTGGTGTTTTTTTATTATTATTGTGTATTGTATTGTCGATGTTTGATTGTCTTGTTTATTTGTGTTTTATTTAGTTTGCAACAATAAAATTTATTAAAAAAAATAAAAAAAGAAAAAAGAAAATGCACAAAACTGCTGACCCCAGAATTCCATAGCACTGAGCCATGGCAATTAAAGCAGTGACAAACTACATTACTTCTGCAATGTAGATGTGGCCTTATTTTGGTGTGTGTGCAACCAAACATGGACTTCTGGCCGCTTCTAGTTTCAGCAGGAGCGGGTGATGCAGGTTGTCCAGGGGGTCAGAAATTTGGCCCTTTAAACATTGCCCACCCTGTTTGACATGACTGGCAACATCGGGTGAGATATCCAGGTCTTTTCAGCAGGCACTGAACTAGATCTTTGAATTCAAAGCATGTGTTCTGCCACTGAGCTATGGCCACTTCCCAGGAGCAATCAATACTAAACACTAGGGATATTCATATCTTTTAGTCATACGAGAATGACTATCCTTGGTGCAAGATATTGATTTCTCCTGGGAAAACAAGCAGAATGCAACCTGTTTTACTTCAAAGCTAGATCTGATGGTATCCGTTTGCTTTGCAAGAGTTTGTCTTGACACAAAGGCAAAGCAGTGGAAAAGGCTTATCTTTGTTCCCACTGTTCATGTGGAAACATCCAAAAACCAAAAGCCAACTGAGCAGATCTAAAATAGGGCACTCGTGCAGTTCTCTGTCATAACCAACAATAAAACTATCCAAAGTTAGCACTTTGCATATAACATCTAGGGAAGATCCAGGTGTTTTGGGAAGGAGCAGTCAAAAATAGCAAAAGGACAGTGAAAGAATCACAAGCCTCTAACTACCTATACTATACAACCCAGCATTGATGAATGACGATTTAATAGCTAACAAACTCAAGTTTCCAAAAACACTTTGTGGAAACCAGGGGCCAGGACGTCAAACCAGGAGTCAAAGCAGCCAGTGTCGTCTACAGTACTGAGTTGTGCGAAGAGATCCAAATGCAGAACCACAATGAGCTATGAAGATCTCACCAGCTGTTTAATCTACCTCACAAGGGTTATTCAGATGTTGGGGTTTTTAGTGTGACTATGTCGCATATGCATTCTGGTTATGTTATCCCTCCCTTTTTTTATTTTTTATCAGTACTGCATCTATGTGCATCTTTGCAAGTTCTAATGTTCACATGTGCCAGCATCATCAAATAAAGATGGAATTGATGATGCAGATGTATTTGAAACACATTCAAGACATGCAGTTTTATTCTGTTTTATCTCAGGTCTATTTGCAACGGTTATTCACACAGCCAATGAGAAACATTTAGGAAACTCAGGGCAAAACCCAAGCCCCATTGTCCTGAGTTAAGTGGGGGTTTTGGCAGCCCCCCCCCCCAAGAAATCTTACTCGGGTGCATTTGAAACGCATGTGAACAAGAAAGATTCAACCCACATTCTAACGGGATTGTTTTCACCATCTGAATAACCCCACAGGATTGTCAGGAAAATGGGGAAGAGAAAACTGTGCTCACCAATAATAATAATAATATGATTTATTTATATTTACCACTTCTCCCTGCGGATTGAGGTGGGAGCACAAGGATAAAATAAAAGGAAAAATACAGCAAGGCTAAGGCATAACAGTAAAACCACAGCAAAATAAAAAGTGATAAAGACAGTAAAAACAACAGTGATAATTAATACAATTGAATTTTTAAAATTACAATAAAAAAATTACAAATACAAATCTGTGCCGTGGGTGGTGATGATCTTCCTTCACCCAGGAGGTCCTGAATCTTATGTTCAATTAGGGAGATCAGGTGGGTAGGCTCGCCGGAAGAGCTCCGTCTTGAGTGCCTTCTTGAAGGCCTCTAGCATTGGAATAATACGGATCTCTTCCGGCATGAACTCCACCAAGGAAAGACAGCACTTAGCAAATCAAAGAAAGAACAAGCCGGAGTTCAGAGCAAGCCAAGTCAGCCCACTGCTTTTGTGTAATGTTTGCTTTTTAATAGACCTCTGGGGCTCATTCACACTATACAATTGTGTTTCTGTGTGTTGTCTGCCTTCACAGTTCTTTTCAACTTATGGCCACCCTAAGGTGACCCTTGGCAAATTTTTCCATGGGAGTTTGCCTTTGCTTTCCTCTGAGACTAAGAAACTGCAACTTGGCCAAGGGCACCCAGAGGGTTTCCATGGTTGAATGGTGATTCAAAGTCTGGTCTCTAGAGTCACTGTCTAACGCTCAGACCATACATCATACTGGATCTCCACTATATAATTTCTTGTTGTTGTTGTGTACCTTCAAGTTGTTTCTGACTTATGGTGACCCTAAGGTGAACCTATCATGGGGTTTTCTTAACAAGATTTGTTCAGATAAGGTTTGCCGTTGCCTTCTCCTGAGGCTGAGGGCATATGACTTGCCCAAGGTCATCCAGTGGTTTTTGTGGCTGAGCTGAGAATCAAATCCTGGTCTCCAGAATTGTAGTCCACATTACACCATTATTATTCTACTTTAACTGACAAGGCTGCATCCAACGGAATTTGGGTCTGGTAGGCTGGTGAGGCACTGGAGCTCTCCGGCAGAGAATTCAAAATGCCCCTTCCTAAACTGCCAATCCCAGGATTTCATAGGATGGGACCATGACATTTAAAGTATAATCATAATGATATAATGGTGCACTGTGAATGGTCCTCCAGTTGGCCACTGTGGAAAACAGGGTGCTGGACTAGGTCTTTGGTCTCTCTAGACAACTGCTCTTATCTTTTCATTGCTGTTATTTTTCTCAAGGTGGTCCTCAGCTGAACACCTCTCTCTCAGTTAACAGATGTGTAAGCTTGATTTAAAATGTAGTAAAATGTGCATGGAGTGTCAGAGAGAGAACCAACAGGAAATAGCAATAGAAAAGGGAAGTGTTCAGAGGACCTCGACTAGAGGGAGGAATTCTAACAGATCAGAATACAGTCCACCCATCCCATATGCGGGTTTGCCATACACGGACTTGAGGTCACGCGAATGGCAAGACTGGGAAACAAATGGCATGCACGCAGGGGAGTGCACCATCTTTAAAATCAATGGAACTTGAGGTCCCACGGTTTTTTCAATACATGAGAGGAGGGTTCGGAATGGATCCTTCGCATATACAAAGGGCCCACTGCCTATTCAAAAGCCCTCTCTAGCCTGTGGGTTTAGGTCAAAGGTTTGATGGATACTTACTTATTTATTCATAACTGCATACATGCATACCCCATCCTTCTCTCAACATGGGATCCAAAGTGGCTTACTAAATTCAAAACGAAAATGTAGAGGAATGCCAGATGTTGCTGGGATGAAATTCCCATCATCCTTAGTCAGCATCAACAACGCTGAGGGATGATGGGAAAAGCAGCTCAACAGTTTTAGAGTCACATGTTCTCTGGCCCTGCTCTTGATGGACATACAATGATGGACATACAATGGGCCCTTGGTTTCCACTGGGATTTGGTTCCAGGACCACCCACCCTGGATACCAAAATCTGTGGATGCTCAGGTCCCATTATATACAATGGTGTCCCTTATATAAAACACGCAAATCAAGGTTGTCGCTTTGGATGATGACGATGATTTAAATATTTTCAAGCTGTGGATAGCTGAAGTGATGGATGCAGAATCTGTGGATATGGAGGGCCAACTGTAAAAGCACTGCTATGCAGCCTCGAACCAGCCATCTCCTTCAGTATGTGAAAAAACTTGAAAATCTACCAACCTTCTTGACTGTAATTTATTAGGGTGCAACTGCCTCTGCAAGTACCAATCCCTTGCTACCCTTGCCCTTTTCCCATCTCACCAACTGTCTCACCCTGCCCTGCTATGTCCCAGTGTTGTCCTGTGTGGCCACTTAAGGCTCTTGAACCCCCAACTCCTCAGAATCCTCCTTTTCTTTCCCTTTGCCTTCTTCTGAGGCTGAGAGAATGTGACTCACCCAAAGATGTTGTTCTGAGCTTCCATGACTAAGCAGGGATTGGAACCCTGGTCTCCAGAGTTGTAGTCCAATGCTCAAACCATTGAACCACACTGGTTCGTTCCATAAATGACCTATCAGACTGAATTACAGCAAAATGACAATGAGGGCCAGCATGGTTTGAGTGGTGGACTATGACTCTGGAGACCAGGGTTCAATTCTTCACTTGGCCATGGAAACCCACTAGATGACCTTAGGCGAGTCACACACGAGGCACCCCAGGTTGCAAACATTATTTGTATTATGGCTGCAGGATTTAAGAACCTGAGTGAGTGGGGGCAGGGGGAGCCATGGCATTTGGGAACTTTACCTTGACATTCCAGGTTGCAAGAACGTAAGTCTACCTTTGGCCAACAGAACAACATTTCTGTCTACAAAGCTGTCTGTGAGATGAGAAAAGGGGAATACAGGTTGGCAAGCCATCGGATGGTACTCAGTCATCTTTTTTTGCATGCCAGGGTAACACCTGTGAGGGCAACTGTCCCAAGGGTTGCCTAGTTCCACTCTCCACCTCCAAACATTCCAAAGCCATGAGTCAAAAGCATTCAGACTAGAGTGCCTATGCTACAAACCAAGCAGTGAGAAAGGTTTGCCATCCCAGAAATGTTGCTGGACAAGCAAACTCACATGACTCAAAAGAAGCAAGCAAGCCTGGCTACATTTTACAAGAAAGGGACAAGGTGTGTTCCTTATATACAGTGAGCCCTTGTTATCCACAGGGGTTTGGTTCTAGGACCTGCCATGGATATTTACATCCATACATGCTCAAGTTCCATTATATACAATTGCATAGTAAAATGGTGTCCCTTAAATGAAATGGCTCAAGGTTTGCTTTTTGGAATGTGTGTGTATGTATTTCTTCCCCAAGGCATGGATGGTTAAATCTGTGCATGCAGAATCCATGGATATGGAGGGCTGACTGTAGTTAGAGCAGCCTATGGCTCCCAAGAGAGTTGTATCTTTTCCTGCCAACACTGGCTACTTGATGGATGTAGTGGAGAAGTGACACATACATCATTTTGGGACATCTCTTGGGGACACATCACACAAAAATACTAAACTTCCAAGCAGGAAATCGGACCACCAGAGTCCTAGAACTGCACTGAACCTACTGGCTCTCACTTAATGCATATCTAATAAATATAAATGCATACTTCACAGCCATGCTAACATTTATACATTAGCAGTTGTCATTTTCCCCTTTCACAATAAGCAGTGCAAAGAAGTATATGCTTTTTTGTTATCATATCTTAAAATATTTATGAAAATAAAGATGATTATGTCCAAATAATTTGTTTGAATGCAACACAAAGCATATTTCATGTTTCAGTCATTCTCCTTCCCCCATTAAATATTCCAGTTTGCCCATCTTTATTTTTTGGGAGAAAAGCTTCCAAGACATTATTCAGTGCATAAAATGAACACAGTGTACTTGCAAAGTTTTATTTTAAATATATAACAAGTAAATATATTAAATCACACCTAAATTGATTTAGAACATCACAAATTTTAAGACTGAACATATGAGGCTGCTTCACAATGCTGTGTATGTTATTCTGCTTTGCATGGTTATTTCGTTTTGCAGTTAGACTTGGGTGCTCAATGGCTGAAGGCAGAAATAAAGTAGGGAAGCAGAAGAGATCAGTAGTACTGTAGTATGGAATCAGAGTTAAAAGGGATCCCCAGGGCTATTTAATCCAACCTCATGCTATGCAGGAATAGACAAACAGACAAATAAATAGACAAATAGACATATAAACCATTCCGAGAAGATGACCATTCAACTTTTATTCAAAGACCCTCACACAAAAAAGATCCTCCATCCTCCAAGGCAATCTATTCCACTGTTGAACAGCTCTTACCATCATCAAGTTGGTGCTAATGTTTAGACATAATTTTTTTTTCCTTGTAATTTAAATCTAGGTCATGAGCAAGTAATGGTTCGAGGAGCCAATCTGCTGTTTCTAGGATCCTCTGGGGCCACATGGACTACCAAAAATGCAAAAGAAACAAAGAGTAAAATTGTGTTTTGAAAAACAGGTACATTTTGATATTAAACAATGATAGGACAAACTGAAATGTATTTAAAGGTACATTCAAAGACACACCAGTGTTAGTCTGTAGTAGTATAAAACGATATAAAGGAATCCTGTAGCATCTTTGAGACTAAATGGAAAAAAAATTAGAACATAAGCTTTCTTCAGATGCAAAATTTCTTCCACTTCTCAAGTTGCAATTGAAAGTATACTGGAGCCCATGAAAACTTGTGCTAGAAATTATTATTTTCCATTACAGGAGAAGAAGAAAAATCGATGATGTTAGAGCCACAAACACACATTTTGTCAAGATGTTGTTTTTGTTGTTGTTAGTTAAGATAGTCTTAACATAGCATTGAAAAGATCCATGCTGTCAAAGGCCATTCCTCTCTATGTCTCTTTGGAAGACGAAGAGTCACAAAATCCAAGCAATAAAATTTAAACTCCATTGGCAACAGAGAAGGTAACCTCCCTTGAGATCTAGGCTGTTTCTATCCTGGGTGAGGATACCTGCCCCGTTCTTAGGCAGAGAACACTTAATTTCTCAAGAAACCTCTGTATTGTTGCATCTGAGGAAGGAAAAATATTTATGTGATGTATAGAAAAAAACTGCCAAATACAGTCCCAATATTTTTTATTTACCCTTGTTGGCTAGCAGGACTAGCCTGGATAGAGTCAATATTAGACTGCGCTGTGTGATGCTGAAGTCTTCAATCCATGTGTTTTGAAGTTACAAGAAACAAAAGCTTTATTTTACAGTGCTGGCATGGGACCTGCGTCGAAAGACATCACAGAAAGTATGTTGCACATTCAGCAACAGCAGTAGGTGCTATACCCCTGGGTTCTTTCACACAGCCTTGTGTGTCTCTCACACCTCTCTTCAAAAGGCCTAGCTTGTTAATGCCAGGGTGCAAAATGACAAGAACTTCTGAACTCCAAAAAACACAGAAATCCAGGCAGCACATGCAGAACCCAAGCCGTGTTGCAATGTGTACCTGCTATCTACTTTCTGATAATTTAAGCCATGTGCTTGCTACAAAAGCCAAGTAAATTGGCTGCCTTAGCAAATGCGATGGGAGGATAAGAGCATCACATTTTATTACCAGAGCAGCATCACAAAGGTACCTGCAGTGAATGAGGATACCTCTCTCAGGAGGAGGCCAAAAGAGGTGTGAACTTTCTTCCAAACTCTCCTTGGGTTATCACTTTAGTGATAGAATACATCTTTATTGAATAAGTATCCAGAGCATTTCAGATAGCAAGATAGATAGACAGACAAACACAATGATAAAAAAGAAAAAGAATATTGTTTATATTTGAATCTGGTTACACCCCTCTTATAATTTGCACAACAGTCTATTTGAGGCCCTTATCTACTTCTTGCTTCCGTAAAATAGCTGCTTTCACTGCAAACAAGGCAACCCTAAGAGTTATGAAAGGCTCTACTCCTTGCAATAGCAGATATCTTGCTTTCATCATCCCTTTCCTTCAAATTTCTGAGGATGGGAGCCAGATATTGCCCTCTGATATCATTATATAATTGACAATGCAGCAGAAAATGTACAAGATTTTCAACATTAGATGCCCCACATATACAAAGTCTATCAAGAAAAAGGGATACCCTGGATCACTCTTGAATCCATTTGCTCAAACCGAAAGTTGGCAAAAGCCTTCTGATGTTCTCTTTTCATAGAAAAAAACAGATATTACTCTTCTTGGAAGAATGTTTTGGCCCTCAATAGCCATTTCAAGGATTTTACTGAGGCCAGAGTCACTAGATCCAATTGATCTTAAGTAATAAACTTCCATCTCAGTTGGCACACCTTTCGTCTGTAATTGTGGGATCTCCTGGTCGAACATTCTTCATGCAAATTTCCTCTTTGCATAAATCCTCTTCAAATGTTCAGAATCTATCCCCCCAGAGTGAAGGGAGAATACAGGAAAATGTTTTGCACAGGTATGTTTGTTGGCATACTTGACAATATATTCTCAAAATGCTTCAATTTGTCATTTTTCCCCATGTTCCATTTTTTCCAGCTGCTCTTAAAAAGTCCTTTTCTCTCACCTCCTCCCACTTTCCCCCTTTGTCCTCAGCTTACTTCCACTGATTCAAACTCAGTTCCAAGTGCAAAAGTACACTTTGCATGCCAATAATTTGGCACATGGGACAGAATAGGGGAAAGAAACTTGTCCTTTCCAGCAGATTTGGGCAAACGCAAAGTGCTGTGGCCTCTCCTAACTTCTGTGTTTTTCCTCATTAGTAATTTTTAGCATCTTGACTAGAGTCGGAAGTATATGTATGTACCCCTGTTTTCATCTGTGAAATGTTGGAGATTATGTAATAGCATTTGCAGAAGATGTGAAATGCACCAAGCCTCTTACTCCTATTGTAGCCAATACTAGGGTGCATTTCAACCACCACTCATTCAAAAGTAATTCACCCTTCCCATACAGCCACAGGACTGTTGTGAGGATAGGAGATGGAATGGCCTCTGTCCACATGCATATCCTTCTGTACCATCTTCACCGAGAACAACAACAATTCAATAAAATTTAGGCCTATGACTCCAACACTGTCATTTTTTTTCTTTCTCATATTTGATTTTTAACATCTTTGCCTGATGAAGAAGCCAGTGGAGCTTCGTAAACTTGAATCATACACTTTGTGCATTTTAGGTGGTGTAATAAAGATATCGTTGTTTTTGTGGATTTCGGACATTATTGCACTTTGCTATATAGTCAAAACGGCTACCCCTGGATATGTTTCCTGCTCCTCTTGTGTGATATGAACTGTGGGGTCAGTCTAAATGGCCCCAAGGTTCAAATAAGGACTTATACTACAAGGGGGTATCGTAAAGTATTAATTATCACCTTTAAAAAAAATTGTCAGAAAGTTTGTTTTGGTTTGTAGTTGTTAACTCATATCTACATAGTCACCATCCAGATTTACACAGCTACCCCTGGATACGTTTCCTGTTCCACCTGTATGATATGAACTGTGGGGTCAGTCTAAATGCCCCCA